AATTCACCTCCAAGGACTTTTAATAAACTCGATTTTTAAGAGTTCAAAAGTCTCCAATTTTGCTCTTAAGACAATGGATCGAGCTTTCAAACCAAAATTCAACAACTAGTCCTTTCATCTCCCTTCTAGTCTCTTCTTCTTCTTTCTCTCTTTTTTTTTCTCTTTTTTTTTTTTTTTTTTTTTTTTTTTGTAGAGGAAGAAGAAGGACCTTAGAAAATTTTCCAACCGAACTCCAAAGGGTATTTTTTCAAGAATCTCCATTTATTCTACCTTACACATTGGCTAAAAGAAAGATCACCGTTTCTCCAAGGCTCAATCAAGGTTCGAATGATAAAAATTTAAAGGTAGGCTTGAAAGACTCAAACGGTTCAAAGATGGCCCAAATCACTTCCCAAATTGCTCAACAATTTAATATTTCACTTTTGTAAATTCCTAAGGCAAGTTCTAAAACCGAATAGCATATGATATAGCATAAATTAATTCCACGTTTTAAAACACAAAACTTTCAACCAAAACAAGGCATAATTCGAGATTCCTAACAATGACTCCTTCCTACGACACTTTGAATCAAAAGCTCACCAAAATTCAATCACAATCAAGATAAATCAAGCAATTTCATCATTAAACATCAACCATCTTTCATCATCATGATTCATCGAAGCATTTATCTCAACACAATTTTTTTTTTCTTTTTCGAAAGCAATAAATAAACCAAAACAACTAAAAAATTAAATCCTAAGGCAAGCAAACTAAAAAATTAAAGCACATAAAAACAAGTAATTTACCACCCCCAAACTTAAAATTTACATTGCCCTCAATGTAATTAACACAAATTTTAAGGATAGAAAACACCTGATTTAGTCGGAATCGTTGTCTTCGGGGTGTGAGAATTTGTGGAAAGAAATCTGATTTTCCTCTTGCGAAGATGCCCTCTATGTCTCTCGGATGACCGTCCCGATCGCAATTCCGACCTTAAAAATAAGAAATCAAATAAATTAATTAGAATGCATGCCTATGAAAATAAAAATAAAACATAAAATTAAAGAAAAATATGAAAAACAGTAAAGCTCGGGTTGCCTCCCGAGAAGCGCTAAATTTTAAGTCTTCAGCCAGACTTTGCTTCTTGAAATTGTTATGTCCAATCCAAAGCCTTGTAGATTGCGCATCCATCCATGAGCTCTATCACTTCAATTGCAACCAAGGCATGGATAGCACTGCAATATGTCACGGTCCACCTTAGCTTGTAGTCTTTTCTGGTTGTAATCAATCGGTATGAAGCCAAGATAGGATGTTCATCGGTCGCTCCCTCAAATCGGTATACAAAAATCTCCAGTCTACGTATAACCTCCACCTCAAACACATTAGCTTTCTCATCGACCACTATTGATGTCTTCAAATCCACATTTAGATCAACGACATGGTCCACAACTAGAATATCTTCAATCATTACATCCATCTCCTTCTTCTCTTGTTCTGAGGTATCTTCGTGGTTTAGCTCGATTGCCTTCTCAGATTCATTATGTTCAAGTGTCTTCGTAATTTTTATTTCTCGCATATCGACACTATTTTCTGGACATGGAAATTGTTTCTCACCGCAGACTTCACCCAAATTTTCTTTGATATAACCATTGCCGATTTCGTCTGGAATATTTTCAAGCGACTCATATTTTAATTTGAGTGTCATCTCTTCCAATTGTATCTCCATGTTTCGAAATGATGCTTGAGTGGACTTCATGAATTCGCCAATGATGGATACCAAATCAGGTTGGTCATTATTGGTTTGTTGCTGTAATGGATAATAATTTTGAAGATCATCAAATTGTGGCTCTCTATGTTGAAACTCGTTCAAATCTTGGTCTTGAAAGCTTTGCTCGTATGTATTGTTGGTGTAAGTGTTCCAATAACCCCTGTTGGTAATTTCGACGAAATTCGTCGCTTTTGGTGATCCCCAACTTTGATCGGTGTAATGATTTCCACCACCTGTTGAACAAAACGGAGGCATATCATAGGTGTTTTGGAGGTATTCGTCAGATGGAAGCCATTCATATCCCGTTTGAGGTGCCCGAACATTGTAACCAGACATGTAACAAGAAAAAAAAAAAAAATCAAAATTAAAAATTAAAATTAAAATTAAAATTAAATGGCTGAAGTAAAAAAAATTGCTCAAATTTGATATTAGAATAAATAGATAATTTAGATGTATTCCCCGGCAACGGCGCCAAAAACTTGTTGGATGCTAAATACCAACACGCAAGTGCACGTATCGCAAACAAGTAATAAAGTGGACTCGTGAGAGTCTGATGTCGATCCCACAGGGAATACGCAAATTACCTAATCCTAAGTACCAAATTCTAACAATTATGATTTTTATCCAGCCTACGCAAGTTTGTCAAATTAAATCAATTAAACAACTAAACTAATAAAGAAAGCAAATAACACAAGAAAATATCAATTAAAACGGACCTAGGATTTTATCTTCCCCCTATGCAAGAATTGCTCACCCAAAACCCCTCAATTATGAAATATATGATTCATGATTATTAACCCGAGACACTAATTTACTCATAACCCGCTGTCGCGTGTATTATGAGTCTATTATTCATAAACGATTCACTATATGTCTATGCAAACCAATTATGAATAAAGCATTAACTAACAAGTCTCGTAAATGGCTACCTAAGGTGATATCTGTATGTCTACGACACCACATGCAATTGACACACTCATCCGGTGAAAACTACTCGAAGGTTCTTCTACTTACCGTCTAATTATCAAAATAGCTCTGTCGAGTCAATCCCAATAATCACAGATAAATCACATAAATTGATCAAGTTCATGCACTAACAATCATAACAAGTAGAAGAAATAATCATAAAATCATAATTGCATAATCTCAAGAAAACGGGTTCACCATCCCCACATAGGGTTCAAATAAAATCCTAGATTAAAAGCTTAGCTACTCGTAATTCTTATGATAAATAAAATAGAATTAATAAAAGAAATAAGAAAAACTATGCTTGAGTCTTCGTTGATCTTCGTTCTTCGCTCCTCTCGCTCCAATCTTGTGTCAAAAAGTCCTTTGATTCGTGCTTGGTTTGGGCTTAAATAGATGTCCCAACTTGGTAGATGATTTTAGGTTTCCTTGTGTGATTAAAAGTCCAAAATTGTGTCCAACGTGTGTTGGCACGGCCGCGCGAAAATCAGTGCAATTCTCGCACGGCCGCGCGAGAATCGCCGAACCTTCTGCCCAAATTCAGCATTTGGCACGGCCGTGCCAAAAATAGGCTAATTTTGGCACGGCCGTGCGGGCCTATTTTCAGCCAATTTCAGCATATTTTTGATTATTTCACTTTTGGCCCAGATTTTCTCCAAATTTGCAGTTTTGACCTCAAACTTTTCCAATTCTTCAATTTATACCTAAAATACAATAAATCATCTTTTTAAGCACCAATTATCGTTAATTCACACAAAAAGCTCAAATAAACGGATACGATAAAGTGTAAAAATATACACTTAACAATGGTCCTATGCATTTATAGGACCATGAAATAATGAAATTGTCCACAAGGTGGATCAATAGTCCACAAATATCCCCTTGAATTCTTAGTAAAAATCATGGGGAATCATTACGAACTTTCATTGGAGATGATCGATCTTATAGTCAATTTTCCTTGTGAGCATGCAACACACACATTATTAGGTAAAATAATCTTTCTGATTCTTTAGAGTGTGCCCATGTGATTTTTTGATTATTTGACGCAATATAATCGACTCTGGGTGGCCTAGTCGATCAAAGCATAATTTTTTTTGATCATTGAACTTCTTGTTCAACACTACGTTTTATTCTATTGTGTTCATGGTCGCTTAATATAATTCCGATGAGAAAACTGGGAGTCTGTATTTCACATGCTTCTTGCATGAAACCTTGGATGTGATACAAAATATTCCATATTCCCCTGATCTATTGTCTCGATATGAAATCCATTGAAACTTAATAAGCTTTTGTTCGATTTGCAAGAGTACAAAGCCTCTTTTGTAAAAATATTTGTTCCACTGGGTAAAATTATATTGGCTCTTCCAAAGCCAACAACTATTTTTGTCGTACCGAAAATTGTACTAACATTGCTTGCCAATTTCAACCTCGAGAAGTATTTTTTTATCTCGAAAAATAGTGTGTGTTGTTCCATTAATGTCAAAGCAAATATCTCCACCATCCAAGTTGCTCACACGAGTCTTATCATTTTCCATGATTCTGTGTACGATTAGAGCATTCGTGTTGATAACGTATTATAGAACAAAGAAAAATACAAGAAGGGAGCAAATGTGTGTATGTATGATATTCTTATTCAAGCGTGTCTCAACTCCATACAACAGTGTCTCTTTTATAGTACAAGGAAGACCATTCAAATGGCCATGAGTTCCAAGGAAACGAATGACCTTAATATCCACCACTATCCCCTCTAATTACATACACTAATGATTTTGTAACTGCCGTATACATCCACCACAGATTACATAATAGTAACAACATATTTTTTTATCATTATGAATTATGAAAAAAAAAAAAGCTTATACCGCTCATACACTTCAACTTAAAAAAAAGAATCTAAAAATAATTTATAATTATCAAATTCGAGCACTTTAGATTTTTATTTTGAAACTGAGATCTAAAAACTTATCACTCCTTAAAAATATTGCATCAATGTAGAAGCTCATAATATGATTAAAGTAAAAAAAAAAAAAAAAGGAAAAATCAATCATCAATTGTTAAATACTTGAATTTTGAAAGAATGTTTATAAAAAAAGATTTGAATTTTGTAAATGAAAAGGTATATAAAAGTTGAAGTACCAAAATGATAACTACCCAAAACTAAACAGCCTGAAAATGAAATTTTCATCTTCTTAAAGGAGTCAACGTGTAACCCGGTCCGAGCAAAGCAGCGAAACGACGTCGTAAACCGCGCCACACCCCACAAACAAATCACTGCACTAAAGAGCATCTCCTTCGCAGAAGAGCCTCCATTTGCGAGCACTTGAAACAAACCCTAGATAGAATTCACACCACCACCGCTCAGAAAGTTAGATAGCCGTTCCGATCAGCTCCGATCTGAAGAAGTAAGAAATGGCGATGGCCGCACTGAGACGCGAGGGTAGACGGATCGCCGCTCCTCTTCTCTCTCCTCACCCAATCAATCCCCTCCGCTCCTCCCTCGCTTCCTCTGAGTACGATTCGATCTCTCTCTCTCTCTCTAGATTTATATTTTTGTCTTCATGGCTGATTTGTGGTGGTTTTGGGTTAGCATTTCTAATCCTATGTCGATTTCGCTGTTGTTGCTTTTAGAAATGTCACTGAATCGATAAATTTCATGGGTACTGTTTTGTTTTCCTTAATGATTTCCGGAGATTCAGAGCGAGGTGTGTCTTTTGCAGCGTAATGTACCACATGATTCTGTTTCATGTTTTTTTTGCTTGGTTGCGTATGATTTTATCAAATTTGTGAAGCATTTGGTTTATGAGGGTTTTCTGTTATGTTTAATTACTGTGTATCTAGATATGGGTGAAAATGATCAGTTGTTACTCTGTTCTGTGGAGATTTCTCTGATGGGTAATTTGATTTTTGCACCAATGAGAAATGAACTTAGCATTTTCGTCCAGGATTTGTTTCAGGGGTTTACTGAGCAACTTTGTAGTTGTAACTTCTCCGAACTGGGTGCAGGGATTTACAGGCAGTTATGTGATTGTAACTTATGTAGATTGAGTGGGGCTTATTTCTTTTTAAAAGTTCAAATTTGATTGTTCGACAACAAGGCTTTCATAAACTATTTTTTTTAATTGGTGAGGTTTTTTCAAAATGATTTTACCTCAATTTTGTAGAGTTGTGGTTTTCTTTTACCGAATTTTTCTTTGTAGAGATGTGGGTTTCTTCATTTTTTTGGTTTTTTTGTTGAAGTAGGCGGACTCGGTTCAATTTGTTTTAAACTTAAATATGTTAAAAGTATGACAGTCATATTTTTGCAATATATTTCCCGAGGTGGATAACCTGAGCTGGTTAATATTTTTACCTTAACAAGGTGATTTAGCTGCTTTTAGAATATGAGAATAGTGTGTTTGGGTCTGTTCATATCCCTGTAGGTTTGCAGTTGAATTCACCTTGTGTTGAATACTTCCTTTGGCCAGCCTAACACATATGTAGATCAAGATTCACCTGGAAGTATTATTATCATGAAAAGCATCAGACACGAGTAATTGAAAATAAGCTTAGTGGTGGGAAAGTCATTGTGTTCAATAGATCAAGATCAAAACGGAGAATCAAGCTCTTACATTTTATTGAATAATTACGTTGAAGAGGAATAAAATTGTGGACTGAGAGGGTATTTAAAGAAAGATGAAACCAGGTTTATACTAAAGCTAAAACAAAAGGAAAAATTAGTCAAAAGAACATATGTAGTGTTGATACATTTATCAGATTGTGATAAAAAAGATTGTCTCTACTACTGTATTCTGAAGGAAACTTGTACGGAATATAATTTAATTATAATATTAGTTAAGGTCATACAAGAGAATATTATATATCCTCACTAATGTTCAGGTATACCCGATGACTCCAGTCTATCACTTGCTCTGGTCTCGGCAAGTCATGTATTTTTTTTGTTGCGATTAGTCATTTTCTTTTTCTTTGCCTCTAAAAGAATTAGCACATGCCAACAGGGAGCAGGCATTCTCAGGAGTTCGTTTCATCTCTACTCAAATTGGTAAGATCAATTCTTTAACTTGTTGGCACTTTTTATTAGTTATTATTTGCCTGAGATTTCAACCTTCTTACTTTTTCTGAACTCTTATTTTCTGGGAAAAATATATTAATGATGATGTTGCAAATCTGCAGTGCGCACTCGTATGAAGAGTGTCAAGAATATTCAGAAAATCACTAAGGCTATGAAGATGGTTGCAGCTTCGAAACTCCGAGCTATTCAAACCAGAGCTGAAAATTCACGTGGTCTATGGCAGCCATTCACTGCTCTTCTTGGTGACATGCCAAGTAAGTTTAGAAATATATATCCATCGTGCCTCAATTTCTCTGAGACGAAGTTTCACTGAAGCTTGAGTTCTTCATGAAATTTCTAATAATTTTTATTCAATCTGTTTTTCGCTGAAGCTTGAGTTCTTCATGAAATTTCTAATAATTTTTATTCATATCTGTTTTTCGCTGTCTACTGATTCCATGCATTATCTACATTATGAATTGCCTGTTGATGTGTTATTGGCTTGCTAATATATTGGAGCTTCTGAAAGTGATTATGTAATGATGGAGCAATGTTGAATTGTTTCTATTGGAAGGTCTGTGCAGGTGTATAGCTGCATATCTCTTCACATCTCTTCTGCATCATTTTTTTTCTCTTTTACGTATTCCGTGTTTCTTCATCATTTCATCATTATTGTCAGAAACTGGAAATTTATCAACTACTGTCACGCAGGCAAGTTAGACATCATGTGATCACGGGTTCATGATAAAGTGATTTTTCTGGTATTTAATTCACAATTAGGCAATTCCTTCATTATGTTCATATCCCTGTAGGTTTGCAGTTGAATTCACCTTGTGTTGAATACTTCCTTTGGCTAGCCTGATGTAATGCCTGTCTAAGCATTAGGTGTGATTACAATTACTTCCATCTGAAGTAGCCAGTAGGATATTGCGTATGACTTATCTGTTCCTGCTGATCTCTTGTATTTTATTCGTTTTAGATTTCTCAAGTATGTGCAAGTCTGTATTTTTTTTGTGCTCAACAAAGAGAATTGTGCAAGTTTCACTTATTTACAAAGAAAACTCATGCAGTATACACAAGATGCAAATCGTCAGGTCATGTGCTATTACTGCATCAGGTTAAACTAAGACTAGTTCTCCTTGCTTGCTACATTGCAGAATGCTGATCTTGACCTTTTATTTTGTTTTATTTTATCTTTTCAACTAGGACTGTATACATTATCAATCTGCTCTCTTTGCTAATAAACTCTCTCTTTAACCATTATAATGGATGGCTTATTTCCAGCCCGTGTCTGTTCTAGATCATGTCTGTAGAGACTACCTTCTCTATTAGCTCTTTCAAGGCATTGCCACCTCTTGTTCAACCTCCTTGTACACTGAAAGCCCCCCTCTGCTGGATGCTTAGCTTAGCTAACTGCAGCTCTGATTATGACTATTCATCAAACACATTGACTCTTATTTTGTACTTACTGTCCATCTGTTTTCTTGCATTAGGTGTTGATGTCAAGAAGAATGTTATTGTCACAATCTCATCAGACAAAGGTCTCTGTGGTGGAATCAATTCTACTTCCGTGAAGATAAGCAGGGCGCTCTACAAGTTAAATTCTGGTATATTAAGCATTTGCTAAATCCCTGATCTGTACTCTCCATATTTTTTTCTTCTTTATTTTTCCCTTTCCTCGCCATTTACCAAAGTGGTCATGAACTATAAAATGTGTAATTCAAGGTCCTGAAAAGGAATGCAAATATGTCATTTTGGGAGAGAAGGCAAAGGCCCAACTTGTGCGTGACTCAAAGAAAGACATTGGGCTGTCGATAACTGAGTTGCAGAAGAATCCTCTTAACTATACTCAGGTTGTCTTTGTTCAGGCCTGTTATCTTACAAAATGCTTACATTGTATTTAAAAATTTTGTCCAGCATGCGAATATTGCTTTTATAATCGTATTTTTACTTACTGGCCTGTTTGGGTGCTAAATTATCATTGTTTTCCACATTCCTGATTATTTTTTTTCCGTTGTGTTTGAAACTTTCAATTACTTTGTAGTTTGTAAAACTAAACCGACTTGAGTGTTTTTTTCTAGGTTGCTTGGCTATATTTGAGTTCACCTAGATGAAGTTCTTACTTGCATAAGCTTAGGTATTAAGTTAAGATAGGCTGAGTAATAGTGTTTTGAAAACACTACTGAGCTTGCTTTTAAAGGCCATGGCACCATGTGAATTGTGCCATACAAGCTGTTTATCCTTTGTCAGCTTCATTTCATGCTGTGCTGGAATTTTTTTTATTCACCCTTAGGCAATTTCCCAGATTATTCGAGGCTTGTGGCCACATATGATGTAAACAGATTTGGTTTTTATTTTCATCCACTTTGTTCATTGCTAATACCAAGATTGGATGGTGTTCCTGTTAATGTGTCTGTAAATTCAGAAAATAGAAAATGCTATTGAATTTTTTAATTCGTACTTGATATCTGATTCTCAAATTCTATTGTTCATTGCAGGTTGCCGTGATTGCAGATGACATCTTAAAGAATGTAGAGTATGATGCACTAAGGATCGTGTTCAACAAGTTCCAGTCTGTGGTTGCATTTCTGCCAACAACATCAACTGTATTATCTCCCGAGGTCGTATTGATTGTATAACTGAATTTACACACATGAGCACTTATATGCAAATAATATAACTGTTGCATGCTAATTAATTCCATGTGTATTTTTATTTTTTTTGATAAAAGATTGTGGAGAGAGAAGCTGAAGCTGGCGGCAGTCTTGGGGAATTAGATTCCTATGAAATTGAAGGTGGTGAAACAAAGTCAGAAGTGCTTCAGAATCTCACAGAATTCCAGTTCTCATGTGTACGTTCTTACCTTTCGAGATTGGTTGAAAAGCTAAACTAGGGCTGAATTTGACTCGTATTTTGTCTGATATTCGAAACTTTTGAATGCTGTCTTCAGGTTATGTTCAATGCAGTACTAGAAAATGCTTGCAGTGAGCAGGGAGCGAGAATGTCTGCCATGGACAGCTCCAGTAGAAACGCTGGAGATATGCTTGACCGTCTCACCCTTACTTATAACAGGTTCCCTTCTTATATATCATTATCAGCTTGTATTTATTTGAGCTTATTTTTTATTTTTTTTTAATTATTATTTTGAATATTATAATGCGAAACAAATTTCTTTCCGATAAATCTTAATGGTATTTATGTCCATTACCAGAACTCGTCAAGCATCCATCACTACGGAGTTGATTGAGATTATATCTGGAGCATCAGCATTGACGGGCTAAATTCAACAAATCTTTAGTCTCCTTGTCTGCCCTAGTCGGATATTGACGAAATAAAAGTTACTTGTGGAGAATAATTTTTTTCCGTGTTTGGCGAGAACTTAAGCATTTTTCAGCCTTTTTTTTTTTTTTTTAATTTAAATAATCTCCTTGGCTATAACTTCGTACAAAGGGATATATCGGCTTGAGCCCGTTCACCTCTATGAAACCCAGTTTTATGGTCTTGTTCTCTTGGTGTGTTTATGTTTCTTTTTCACTTTCAGAAACTCATAATACAAAGACAAGTGTTTCTATCTTTATTTTGATGATGTTCTTGCACATTCTTTTATTTCCTGTTACATTTGCATTAAGCAGGCAAATGAGGATGGATTAGATGGTATTACCGGAATGTTTTTGATGGATTTATTCACCATTGTTGAATTGCATTTTTAAAAGGGAAAATTTGACAAAACACTCCATTATACAGGTATGGGTACAATGGGTCTAAATTTATTTGACATTTTAAAGATAAATTCAAAGTAGCTTTTATTAATAAATATTAATTATCACCATTATACCCCTCTAAAAGTAAGGCATATTTATGATTGAAAATAAAAGATGGGGTTATTTTACGTACCCCATAACCACCAAATAAACTAGGGAGAAATTCAAGCTCAAATCATCCTTTGACATACCCCTGGAGAAGCGAAGGTACTATACTACCTTTATATGCAATTTTCAGCCAAACTACATTCAGCATTTATGGTCCTGCATTTATCATTTTCGCTGATTTCATGTTATTATTATTATTATTATTATTATTATTATTAATTTTTTTTTTAATAAACCTGTTTGTTTTATATATATATATATTATTTTTTTTTAATTTTTTTTTTCTTTTTTTTTTTAATTTTCAGATGAATATGTTTACTGTAATGAAAATAACTACATGTAATTGTAGTAACTATAGTAATGCGTAGTTACGTTCTTTTTTTAGCCCATATTTTTAGTCGATCAATTATATACACACGCGAATACTGGCTAATACAAAAGAAATTCATAAACCCCAAGAACAAAACTTTACAAATTTCAATATTTATATTATAAATCACCTCAAAACCAATAAAATACAAATAAAAAATACACAAATATACGCATATGTAACTACATGTTACTATAGTAATGTATACAATCTGTTGAACAAAGCATATGTAACTTCAAACAAAAATTTTGACACCTTCAAGGGAAAGATCAATGGCCTTCATTAAACTGCAATTGCAAAATCAAAACAAAAAAATATTTTAGTGCAAATGAACAAAAAATAAAAGAAATATTCTCCAAAAACAACAAATACTAACAGATCGAAGAGAAATAAATCTGAAAATATAAAAATAAAATAAAATATAAAAATATAGAAATAAATCTGAAAATATAAAAATGAATGAAATTGACATCAATATATAGATCCCGACGAGAGGAATCTAACGGTGAGTAGCCCGTCAAATTCCGACTGACGAAAAACAAATTACACCTCTTGTAAGAACACCGTCGTCGAAATACGCCGACTAAAAAAAATGCAGAAACAGATCCAGCACTCCAAACTGAATGAAATACCCACGAAAAGAAAGAGCTCGACGAGAGGAATCCAACGATAGTTGAACCATCGAATTCCGACCACCGGAGAGAGAGTTATGACTCTGAGAAGCAAAATCGTCAGTTAGAGACCTTGGGGGCCGGATTTGGATCTGAGAATTGAAAGAGGAAATCGATATGGGTTGGGCTAGGGTTTAAAACTGATTTAAAAGGGTATTATGGGTATTTCAGGTGGACTAGGGGGTATGTCAAATTATTATCCAAATGAAGGGGGTTTGCACTAGTGTGTAAACAACATGGTAGTTAGTTCTATATATTTTCGAAATGAGGGGGGTCTCTAAAATATTCCCATAAAAGATACACAATATATTTTCCATCAATACATCATGTTTAAATAAATCCACGAATCTAGCTCCTTGATTGTAGATTACAGTTTTATCGTAGTGAGATTTATAATTCTCAGATATTCTTCCACGATTGTATGAACATGAAGTGGCGTAACAAATATACAGAGTGGTTTTCGTAGTTTTTGTAATTTGTGTAAGTTTCATATTATCGTACCTGAACTAATTTGATAAATAAATTGTAGATGTATGAACATGTTTGTTTTGCTTGAACGTTATGTTGTTTATCCGAGCAAGAAATCGCCTTTGTAATTATAAATAGTGGTTTTCATGTTTATATAGCTATTTATACAGAGTGGTTTTCCTATTTATCTAACTGTTTCTACAGAGTTGTTTTCATGTTATATAGCTGTTTATACATAATGATTTTAATATTTATAGATCTGTTTATACAGAGTGGTTTTCATAATGTCAGACTTTGTCTTTGATTTTCTTTTTCCTGAAACGATTTATCCATTGTTGGGTGGGCTTGTTGTAAATGGTAGGAATGATAATTTTCAAGTTAGGGGGATTTGCATTTATAAGCAGTTTGAGTTTTTTTTTTATTTTTTTTTAGTCCCTTTTTAAAATGATAAAATAGGATAAAACTGGGCGTACCTTGAATTTTTCGATTGAATTGGGTGTAACTTGATTTTTTGTAATTTGCTTCAATCAATGGAAACCTTAAGCAGCTTAAGTGCTTATCACACAATAAGATTAATGATTATGGGCAATTTGCTATAGGTACTTGAGTATTAGATTTTAGGGGAAATTTGCTAGACACCCCTAGTTTTGGACTTATATGGGTAGAGATCCATTTCATTAGATGAATATAGGTATAGGTCCTTTAGTCAATGAAATTAATTTAAATAAAATAAAACTATTAGTATATACACATAAATACCCTCAATTAATATTTATATAGTTATTTATTTAAATAAGGGAACAAATCTCACATATCACTCTATCAATCATTTCCCTCTCATCTCTCCTTTTTCACCTCTCTTACTTTCACGTGTGTCTCTCTCTCTCACACACACACACATGTTTCTCTCTCATCCCACATATCATCTCTCTTTCCCATATCTCCTTCTTTGTATTTATGTATAGTTGAATTATTATTTTTATTTGCATTTTTTAATTGATGTTGTTTCAATAAACTACCAAAGTTATTTAAAATAACAAAATGTGTTTGCAATAAAAAATAAATAAAAATGCAAATTAAAATAGAAAAAACAAATTATACAATATTATAGGATGTGCAACCACAATCTAAAAAGTATAATATTTTCACAATAAATTATATTTGCCGCAACAATAAATTAAATTTCAAAGAGTAAAATGATAGTAAATCATTAAACAATATTTTTTGCCCACTCGCACTATCGAGGAACATCTTCTTGTCAGCGGCATCAACCGAATATGGTCTTCGTTCTTTTTTCCCGTGCATGATGAGTTGAAACACTCACATGATAGAATAAAATGTACAATCTTGAACCTATAAATAATAAATTGCAAACTTTAACCACAATTTACTAATTGCAAATTGAAGGAAAATAGCTAAAAAAGAATTGTGATTGCAAACAACGAACAACATATGCAAGTTCAAACAAGATTTGTAAAATACAAACTGCAAACATCTAAGAAGAACTTCAATTAAGACCAAACATGAACTGCAAACAACAAATAACAACTTCAATTATAATAGAGAACCGCAATTAGAAATGTATATCCAATTGCAAAACAACTAGATGTAGCCCCTAGTAACATGCTCACCAAATTAACCACAACAACATGCAAACTCATACTAAAAATTTAAGTGCAGACTCAAAATAGCAAAGCCCAAATCATACTAAAATTTGTAGACTTCAAACTAAACGCAAACCAAAATTTTGATACAGTTACCTAAATACCAAAAAACAAACTCAACATAGTAAATAATAAACTCGAAACAGCAAAATGTAAACTCGAAACAACAAAATGTAAATTCGGTATAGTAAATTCGAACTAGCAACAATCAAATACTCAGTCTCAAGAAATTAGAGATGCAAACTTAAAATATAGTTACATCTAAAAAAAACATAAACAAACTACTAACATCAACAAACCTTGCAATTTATATCTGATTTCTCGGGGATTCGAATTCATCAGCCTCGTTCGATGTCTGAAGGAAAAAAAACGGGCTTTTGAATGAGTATTGAAAAAAATCGAACAATCATATGTACATGTAGTTAATAGGAGTATTGCTTACTGAGACTAAATCGTGTTTGAGTCATTGTAGAAATCACAAAAAACAGATGAAGAAACAACAAACGATGTCATCAAACAACAAACGATCTTCAAATAGCAAACGAGAAAAGAAAAAAAAATCTAACTCCTCAACGTAAACAACAAACGACATTTTGTAAATTGCAAACGGTCCGAGGACCCTACCTATGGCAGACTCAATTCGATTTTTGGTTAGGTTTGATATTGATAAAATCGATGTTTGGGAGCGATGAAAATTGAAGAAATCGATTCTTGGCAGCGGTGGAATTTGAGATTGAGAATACGTGAATTTTTTGGAATGGGTTGATTAAATGCAGGGAGAAAAATATGGGATATATATTTTGGAGATTTTTCTTTCCATATATTGTTAGGGATATTTTTGACATATTAAAAATAATAAATTTACTAAAAATTGAGTTTTATTAGTTGGATTTATAGACATATAATCTCTTATAGGAGGACCTATAGCAAATTGCCCCTAGATTTTAAAATGATAAAATAGGATAAACTGGGCGTACCTTAAGTTATATTTTATACAAGTCCATTGATTTTTTTATGACAAAAATGCCCTTTAAGTAAATAGGGCAAATGCCATATGTTATGGAATAACAAAATTGTCATTAACATAGAAAGAGAGAGTTTTTGGAATAACAAAACTTTCCAGCATTGTAACCTGTTACGCAAATCAAATTCATCTTCAGCAAAGAAATCTGTAGAAATCTGCAAACCCTAACGAAGTTTGTTGTTCACTTTTGCATCTCGGTCATATTTCCAGAAACGCGAAATCGGAGAACTTCAATAGCAAACGAAGATGGTGCAGAAACAAAAAACATGGTGATGATGCTAAAAATAGATCACCTTATATAGTTGAGATTGAAGGAGCTGGGAAAGCAAAGTGGGTCACTGCTCACGTGCTAGATAGCCCTGAGATACTTGCGAACAAAAAACACATGAACTAGGCCAGGGGTTGATCCGGCGGAAACCCCTCGGTTCGCCTGTTTACCTCTCCGGATAATGGAAATAGTTGGGAGAATATGACCCCTAGTATTATTTGGATAATAGGGCGTACCTTTAGCAAATGAATT